AGCCAAGTGCAAAATGAGCGAAAACAAGTCCTAAACACGAAACGAATCGGCAAATTATCAGTGTCAGTGGGGTAGCGTACGCGCGTGCTCTAGACGGAGACGATCGGATACAGTCGGTGGCCGACGATGTTGGCAAATGATCTGGTCACTCCACCCCGGCAACGCCAACAACAGTACCAGCTATCAAAAACACAGATCGCCGACCGGTCTTCGAAAGATCAGTGGCAGTGTGAAAACACGGGCCTTGTCTGGTGATGGGGGGTGCTTAAAGTAGCGAGGAGACAAAGTGCGGAGGGGTGCGTGACAAAAAGCGGTTGGGAAGAGCGGCAACTAGAGGGGTGCGGAGGCAGGGTCAGCGTTTAACAATAAGAATGGATGGGCACCTCGCTGGTGCCTAATCCGTGGTCGAAAGTGGTTTCCCGGGAAGTCGGCAGAGCGCCGACCCAGTTCGCTGTAACCGATCGGTGGCGCTCACAGACGTTCGTTGTAAGTGCGATTTTGTGCCATTGAACCAATGTATATTTTCACGGTCACGCAAATATTGTTCATTTTAAGTGGGGCCGTTATATGTGGGCTCGACTGTACTTCCTTCGAGTTAGGAAGGAGTTTCAAATCTACCCTGTAGACTTTAACGTACAGGAAAACTAGAAATTTCAGATGCTAAAAATCTTCAACGTCCGATTTTTCAAACTTCCTGCCCAAATTCCAAGTCCAATACAGCATCAACTGAGCCCCCTTCTCTGACACATCTATCCTCTCGATGTTGAAATCGCTGCCGAGAGCATGCCTCCTATGAAGGGGTTTAACTGTATTCATATTAGGTTAGGGCTCTCGCCACACATGATTGACCAGATAAAGTAACAAAGTCATGCGTCATGGGTTCGCTGACTGCTGCGGATACCTACAGGCGGGACAACGCAGCTAGAAAACAAAAAGGCGTTGCTGTAGCCATCAATGCTTTGCGGGAAACATCAACTTCCTGGTCAGCAAACGTGGCGATGTCATGTTAGCAACTAAAGCTGGAAGCGTATGTCGTGTTTCCCGAGCGCGGACAGACTCGACATGCTGTGAAAATTGGCGTTGGTGGGGACCACGTTGGTTGCCATAGCAATGGGACATCAAACGTTTTCCTCTTTTGAAGTTGCATTGTCCCGGCCATAGATATCTGGTGCCGTCGCTGGGCAAACAAGCACGTGCCGTTACCTTAGCTGGTCAAACGAGCCTTGCATTCGAGCCAAAAAGTTGTGCCCTAAACCTAATCCCATCTCGAAAAAAAAAGGAGGTGGCATTGAGGTGTTGTATGACTTTCTAGTTCGTGCAGACTGCTGCTTAATCCACCTTCGCGGCAGTACGCCGGTTACCTGCTAAAAAGCGTGTTATGATTTTGATGGGCTGTTAGCACTAATCACGGGACACAGCACATTTTGTTCAATTACTCAAGCATCTATACGGCGCATAATTGCGAGTATTAGTAGGATCGATGATGGCTGAAAAAGTTACTGAAAATCATTTGTAGCAGTGTATGACATTTCTGGCACCATAAAAGAACTGTGCGCCAGTTTTTTTTTTTTTTTTTTTTTCGCTACCCCTACGAGTTTCTTGAGCTTCAAGGTCGCCAGCTTGGGAGATCCACATTTGAATTCACAGAGTCAGACTTGCCAAATGCTAATGTGAACTTTATTATTAATTGCTCAGTGAGGTGGTTCAACATACTAATTTTATTGATAGCACTGTTCTTATTCACACAGCACGATTTAGGGCATGTTCAATGGTATGTACATTTTTCTTCTAAATGTAACACTTCTTTTTCACACTGCTTCAAGTTTGCTCCGAATTCTATTTTGGCTGTTTCACCTCTGTATGCACCAGCCCGACAGTTTTTATGTGCATGTGTTTACCGTAACATTGTTTGTTTAGATGTTAAATATGCAAAACTATCCTTGTGTGAGTATTCGAATGCTTCGAATTTACAAACCAATTGTGGGGTATTCGAATTTGCTTGGATTTGAATTTAAATTATTGAAAATTTTCAAGTATTGGGATTGAAATAATAGGCGTATATTAGTCTGGGAGATGATTCAGACTCCTACCGAAAGTTTTGAAAAAACCCTACGAAGCGAGCTACTCGTCGAAATTTTCAAGCATTACCCGGATCTCAGAACACTTTACCTGCTACTAATCTGCCGTAATGGATCCGCACCAAGTTTTTATGGACTACCAAAAATTCACAAGCCTGACGTCCCCCTCCGACCGATTGTAGACTTCACTTCCTCCCCATGCCGAGCCCTTTCAAATTTTCTACACCGAATCTTCGCCCCACTAAACCGGAAGACACCAACTCATGTCCTGACTCCAGCCACTTCGTGCAGCGAGCTTCAGATGTGAGCATCGGGGATGACGAGAGCATGGTCTCATTTGACATCGTTTCATTGTTCACCAACGTGCCAGTTCTCTTAGCTCTCTCCGCTGCCCCTTCTGCGCTTGAGGAGGACGCTAGCCTGAGTGAAAAGGACTCCTTTTGCCGTTGACGAGCCCTGCCATCTACTGGAGTTCTGCCTGTCCAGCATGTACTTTTCCTACAAAGGGGCTATTTTCAAGCAGAACAGTGGAACCGCGATGGGAGCTTCCATCTCCGTCACGATAGCAAATTTGACCTTGAAGTACATAGAAGAGAAAGCACTCGGCTCCTTCTCATCACGACCCAAGCTTTTTCTGCATTATATGGACGATTGCTTTTGCGTCATTAAGGCGTCTGAAGTTGAAAACTTCAGACAACACCTAAATTTCTTGCACCCAGCCATACATTTCACGACCGAGTGTGAAGGCGACCACCGCCTGCCCTTTCTCGACATCCAGGTGGCAAGAAATCTCAACGGCCTGGAGTTCTCTGTTCATAGGAAGCCAACGCACACTGGCCGCTACCTTCAATTCGATTCTTTCCACCCCGCCTGCCAGAAAACCTCGGTTATGACCACGCTACTCGAGAGAGCTAGCAACTTACGCTCTAATGACACAGAGCGAAAGAAAGAAGAGGCCCACGTAATTGTGGACCTAAAAAAAAAAACAAATACTCAAAAAACTTCATTCGAGCCGCCACCCGCCCCGCAGAGCAACAGAGGATACGAAAACCCTAATCGACCTTAATTGGCAGCCCCCCGAAACGTGTACCGGTTCCATACGTTCAGGGAACGAGCGAGATGTTGGCGCGGATCTTCAAGAAGAAAGCGGTTCGCATCGCGCACGTGCCCTCGTCTACACTGAGCCGCCTCCTCCCCCGCCCGAAAGACCGGCCAACAATAGACAGGGCCCCTGGCGTCGTTTACAGAATTCCGTGCACCGAGTGCCCCTCGTCGTATATCGGCGAGATGAAAAACCTACTGTGATGACTGAAGCAACACGCAAACGACGTGCGGAAATTCTACGAAGAGCGCAGCGCAATCGCCGAACATGCTGAGACGTTGGATCACCAGATAAATTTCGTGGTGAGAGAAATCTTTGAAAGCGAGCCGAACTGGAGGAGAAGGTTGTTACTCGAGTCCTGGCACATACAGAGGACAGCCCATAACATCAACCGCTCTTTCGGAACCCTTCTCGGAACCCTTCCTCTAGTGTACACACACGAACTGCGCTCCGCAGCAAAATGAGAGAGATGGGGGTTCATTATCCATCCCGTGAGTGCTTTGAAGACGCCGCTGCTACGTAGCCTCCGCAGTCTTCCCTGAGGAAGGAACCAAGTCGGTTTTGAAACATCGGGTTTCTTGAAAACTTTTGGTTGGAGTCTAAATCATCTACCAGTTTCATACCCAACCAGACAGACTTCTGTCAAATGTTTACATTCAAGCATATTAGTCCGCATGTAACTGCCTGTAAAAGGGGATTGACTGCAGTGTAGGGGTAACTAAGCCGTGAAAGCATTTATCCAGGGAAAATTGGCTCCGCCGTGAAGCCCCTCTTTGAATTCAAAGGGGCCCTGCAACACTTATTCAGCATGCTCAGAAAACGCTGCCGATTGGTAGTAGAGGCTACCGAGAACCCGCGATACAAATGTATTATAGCGCAGCATGCGACCTGCTATTCCAAATAAATTCTCAGTCAGCTAAATAATTGCTCTCTTCTCTCAGCAAATGACATCACATGCTCAAAAATCACTAATTCACAGCCATCGTGTCAGCCATAGGCTGATTTGAGCATGGCGCGCTTGTTTGTTACTGGGGTCGCCCGCGGGCGGCCACAACTTGTCCACGCATATGTGCACAATCGCACTGAAAAGCCGTGTGTTAGAAGAAAAAGTAGAGAGAAAAAGTGCTCAAGGTTACGAGGCATGTGGGAAACATTTTCCTTCCCCGTGCCGTCCCTCCCTGCTTAATTTCCAGCGCTTTAATCTGAATGAGTAGAGAGAATGCAATGTCAGCGTGCAACAAACCTTTGCAACTCCGCCCATACTGGATGGATTCCAAAAATTTTTGCGGTGGAGAATTTATGAGGCAATAAGCTTCTTTAGCGAATCCATTCCATGGCTACTTGAAAAAGTGTTGCAGGTACTTTTTAGATGAACTTGATAACTTCAGACATATTCATTATTTTCTTAAGCCTAAAAGCTTGTTATGACAGCTTATATGCTCAAAGTATAATAAATTTTAAAATGTTAGTGCTTTACAGGTTACCACTCGCATCCTATTGACAGTGAAACCCTGCTACTACTCAAAGTAGTTTAGACTTCCCTGAACAAAAGAAAAAAAATAACATTTGCATAGAGGCCCCATTTCAATTAAAAAAAATATTGTGCTGGTTAGTAAAGTTGTGATAAATATGCCCATTTTTCTTGGTACTTCAATATACTGGTCGAATTCGCTTTGAACCTAAATTCACTATTTTCACAAGCCTATGCAAAACACAATGGCCAACAGGCCAATATGGCGGCACTAAAACCTATTATTGAAATATTCTATAGTTAGTGCAGCTGCAAGTTGATTGTCGTACAACCGTCATTTCGGATGCAGTTAGCACCACCACAAGGCAGCGATGGCCCCAGCATGCGCGTCCGCGTCCAGTTTACTTTGTAAACACGAGGGGCCACACCGACGGCACATCGCCTGCTCTGCCCACGGCCGATCAGCACGAGCAGCTGCAGCAACGGCGAGAGGCGTGGCTCGCAGTTGCGGGAAGAGACCGAAGCGTAGCCACGGCATCCACTGGACACTGGAGTCTAACGCGTGAGTACGCTCTCAGAGCCTAGTGTTAGCTGATATGGGGCCCTTTAATTAAGGGGCTTGAATGTGCTGTAGCTAGCGGAGTGCGCTCTTTTAAACTCAACTGCTAGAAAGCAACTACCGGTGCATGATTTTGGTGCGTGCTCTACTTGCTCCATCCCCGAGACACACTTCAGACTCTCTCCTCCGACAAGTGCATTCCATTTCCCTACTCGTTTCTTTCGAAGAACGTAACATTTGCTATTCAACGTTATCTTTTTTCTGAAAGCAGTTGGCGGAAATCTCCGTAAAGCTAAGCTTTGAAGGCATCGCACTCGAGTGCATTCGAGCATGTTCCTTTGCACTTTAGAGTGCACCAACTTAACACGCCCAATGTTTTGCGATGTTTCCTGCTTACACTCACCACCCAGTGCACATAACGAATAGGAAAGGGAAAAGAAGTAGGAACTAAGTTGGTTGCTGTGTTGCCATAATTTACACGTGTACAAATATCATCCTCATTTCTGGCAAAGGGACAACTTTTACTGTTAAATTTACATTCGGCACTCCTGTCCTGACCTGGGACACAGGTGCAGCTGTGTGACGTTGCTTCGTACAAAAAAAAAAAACTGGCTCTAGGACATTCGATTAAAAATGAATGAAACCAGACAGGAAAGCATGGAATCATTTTTTCTAATGGTAGTGCATTAACTATGACATCTATCGAACCCCTTTAGATGAGGCACTAGTGTAGTACTTTAAGAGATGGCAGGGTGCGCACATTGAAGTAGGGGTTGATAAGAAGATTCATGCGCAGTACCAACACCACCTAGACTTTTTTTTCAGGCCTCCGCAAGCCTACGTGATGTCATCAGTGTGAGATCTGCCTGGAAGCTGGCTTCACCCGAATGACCGAAAAGCGTTCGCGTTTTGTCGTTTCGCGGCCCTGTTGCACTCGTAGCATTTTTTTTTTTCTCAGAGATTTACACTTATAAGCAGGCCCGTGGCCAAAGGGGGAGGGGTTAGGAGCCCCCCTCCTCCCCTCCACGAAATTCGGATGAAGGGGGCTGTTTTACTGAGAATAAATAGTGAAAATAGGGGTTTGTCAAGGACTTCAACAGGTGCCCCACCACCCGAAAATTAATTTTTGGCTATGGGCCTGCCTAGAAAGAATTTTTGTTTGTAACAGGTGTAAATGTTATAGACCACGAAAAGTTTTTGTTATTTACACCTATACAGTGAAACCTCGTTAAACCGTACCCGCGTAAACAGTAGTTTCGTTTTAAAAGTAGTGAAGTCATATCCCCGACTCGGCGGCCATTGAACATAATGCATTTTGTATCCGCATAAGCCGTACCAGCTTATCGCGTATGTATCTGTTAATAAGTAGTTTTTCCAATTTTCGTTGCGCACTCGCCGCGGCATGTCATCCCCCACTGGGCGTCCTGACAAAACAGCAAGCCCCAGTGATGGAAACACGCGTCGCTTGTTTGTGTTGATGATGATGGCGGCTGTGTTGGTGAGCGCCATCTCTTGGATTTTTTTGCAACAAGAAGCACTCGGCTGGCTAGGCTTCTGGTGTTGTCCACGCCATGGCGCTTTGCACAAACACGCAAACACGACGATAGTTATAGCGCGAGAACAAAACAACGACACAGAGACAAGGAGGACACGAAAGACACGAGCGCACAAGGAGGACACGAAAGACACGAGGGCTCGTGTCTTTCGTGTCCTCCTTGTCTCTGTGTCGTAGTTTTCTTCTCGCGGTATAACTATCGTCATGCCATACCAACTAGCGTCATGCCAGCCCAAGCTGCCACACGCAAACACGGTGTGCGCTTGCTTTGCTTTCTTTGTTCCTTTGGCGCCGTGCATAGGTGTTCTCTGGTTGATCCGTGCTGTACAGCTCTTGCGTCGTTTTTCACGTGTTGTGTATGTGTGCTTGTGCTGCTTCGTACTTGCAGCATGCCGAAGCTGGGACAAAAGCATCGAATGCTGAAAATAGAGGAGAAATTGGACAGAATTCGTGCTATTGAAAGTGGCATGAAAAAATCGGCGCTGGCACGCGAAAAGGACCTGCGGTTAACCACGGTGTGCGGAATTCGGAATTCCAGAGAGAAGTTGCTCGGCAGTGCTGCTGCAACAGCAAAAAGGTGCCGGCTACGCGGTTCGGCGTTTTCGGATGTAGAGGAGACGCTGGTGAAGTGGCTAAAAGCTGCACGGTCAAAAAAATCTGCCTATCAGCGGACCCCTGCTCGTGGAGAAGGCCCTCGTTTTTGCCTCGCAGCTCAACCATGACAACTTCGTGTGCAGCAATGGCTGGCTGGCCAGATTTAAGGCAAGGCACGGCTTTACCACGAGGACTGTTTCGGGAGAAGGTACTGCTGCTGACGTAGATGGCGCGGAGCAGTGGCAAAATGGTCAGCTGAAGAACATCTTGGAAGACTATGCACCTGATGACATCTTTAATATGGATGAATCGGCGCTATTCTTTAAGCTGCTACCAGACAAAACGCTCGCGTTCAAAGGCGAGACGTGCACCGGCAGCAACCATGCAAAAGACAGAATATCAGTGGCGTTTTGCGTAAACATGACTGGAACCGACAAAACTCCGCTCCTCGTGATTGGAAAGTCGGCGAAGCCTAGATGTTTCAAAGGCGCCCGGTTGCCATCAGGGGTCATCTATCGCAGCAACACCAAAGCATGGATGACGGCAAAACTCTTTGAGGAGTACGTGCGCCTCATCGATCGTCGTTTTGCGGCTGAGAACAGAAGAGTTGTTATTATTTTGGACAATGCTTCGGCGCACGTCGCCCTAGACAACCTGACGGCTGGGAAGTTGGCGTTTCTGCCACCAAACACAACAGCGATTGTCCAGCCCTTGGACCAAGGCATCTTTCGAGCTGTAAAACAGCTCTACAAGAAGAATCTGCTGTGCAGATTTCTTCTCGCCATTGAATGTGGCAAATTATTTTCCATCGACCTGATTGGCATGATTCACCTGCTCGAATACTCGTGGCGGCAGGTTGAAGCAACGACAGTTCAAAATTGCTTCAAGCATGCTGGCTTAAGTGTGTGTGCGGGCGACACAGATGACGCCAGTGACACCATCGACCAGACTTCGGACATCGTAGATGAAGCTTGCAAAACTCTGCTAGCTGAAGTGCTGGAGCGGCAGGGCGTTGCGAAAGGCATTTCCTTCCCCGACTTCAGAGACGCAGACAGTGATGTGCAGACATCTCCGGACATGTCTGACGAAGCCATTGTTGCCTCGGTTGTCGAAGTGTCGCCAAATTATAGTGATGAGGACGACATGGAAAGCTACAACACGGGTGATCCAGGTCCGACAGTGGCCGAAGCTGCGCATTGCGTCAGCGTCATGCGGGTATTTGCCGAGAAGAGGGAGCTGGCGGAAAAGCTGGCTCACAGCATAAGTGAGTTTGAGGCCGCTGTCGTTTCCTTTAGGCCGCCGCGTCGTCAAATGAAGATTACAGGCTTTGTCATGCGAAGTGAATAAATTACTGCACGTTTTTTGTTCTTTCATCGCACTCCCTGAATTGAAAAAACGCACTCCTTGAAACGAAAACGAAAAATGTGACAATACTTTAAAAAGTTGTGGAGATGAAGCTTTTAACATTTTTAAAATGATCTTCTAGAAGGTGTTGAAACTGGGAGCTCAAACGATTTGGCTTTATAAACACAAAGGACACATCATCAGTCATGTGCGAGAGATTATGCCTGGAGTGTCTTCAGTTTTCGATTAGCTGCTTTGACTTCAGACAGCTTGTTGTTTTCTCGTTTGCAAAGGTTGTTTAACAAAGTGTTGGCTGCTGCACTAAGTATGTACCCCATCACTACATGTGGCGTATGGCCATTGTCACAAACATCAAAGTCTTCATTCCACTCAAGGAAGAGTGTTGTCATTGAAACAAGCAGTTCTTTCTGCTTCTCACAGCCATAAAATTTGGCTGCGTGTTTTTCACTTGTCAGTTTCTCGAGAACAATATTCATCATAAGTACGGCGTTCACAACGATGGCTTGGGGAAACTTAAGTCCACCTCTTGTGATACTCGTTATGAGCTCGTCTGCCTCAATTGTAAGAGTCCTACTCTCAACCGCTAGGTTCTCTTTACAGAATGGACATGTAAGCTTCTTGAGTGCAGCATGTGCGCAATAACCAGCGACATAAGTTGTAGCTGGAAGTGTGTGCTGCTTTGCAGCAATGTCCTCTTCTCCAACTACAATTTGGAATTGCTTTAAAGCATCACGAAATTTTCAGTGGAGGCACATAGAGGAATCTCGTCACTCTCTGGCAGCTCGAGGACCTTCTGCAGCCTCAATTTGTGCTCCGCTTCATGCATCTGCCGTATGGAGATATGGTACTGCGCGCCACTTAACTGTCGTATCTGCCAAACCTGTCTTCAAGGCAGTCCGACTGGAATTTCACCAGTAAAACGTACCTGAATCCAAGCTAAAAATTTTTAAGGCAGTAGCTTGTCACCTGAACAAGAGCAAGAGACGTGTGACGCAATGCATTGTGTGTCTCATGACTGAAATGACCAGTGTCATGCTTGAGGCTTTTCCAGTAGTCCAGCCAACTGACTATTTTGTTCAAAAACTCGACTTGGGGGCAACAAACTGCCTTTATGGGCTCTTGTAAGTCATCTTGAAGGTGCCTACCTTCATCCGGCGTCTTAACATTCACTATGCGCCACCACATTACGACAGTGCTGATAAAATCGGCCGTGCTTTTGGCATGCTGCAGTTCTGCTGCTTGTGCACTGTTGAGAGCTGCGATTGTGAAACTGTGGAACACCTTGAGAACAAGTTTCATGTCTTGTCGCTCTAAGTTCGAAGGTTTTTGTGCCTTCAAAGACATTGTTGGAGCAAGTCGTACAAGCTCATTTCTCTCTCTCTCATGGAGCTCTAGCAGCGTGTTGAATGAAGCTGTTAGCATGCACGGCTTGTCAGGTAGTCCATTGATGTCTGGAAAAAACATACATTTACCACTGTTACGCTGGTTA